TGTTTCTTTCAAATTCTTGAAGTTCAGCCACTAGCTCGTTTGCTGGAGGCTGAATTATCAGTAGAAAATCTTCATTCCCTGCAATATCTAGTTCGCTGGAGCCATGTGGAGCCTTCTTCTGAAGGCCCGGCCTCTTCGCTAGCTCGTTTGCTGGAGGCTGAATTATCCGTAGGAAATCTTCATTCCCTGCAATATCTACTTCACTGGAGCCACATGGAACCTTCTTCTCAACAAAAATTTTGAAGTCTTCTTTAAAAAGCCACATAAGGGACCAGCAGTTGGCATAATGGCTATGTTGCTGGACTCCCATGTAGTCAATCGCAGTTTGAGTCCTAGACCTGGTGGCTTAAACTCATGCTGGGAGCATGTGTGTGTATGCTCAAGATTCTGAGAGCAGAATGGAGGAAAAGGGATTGCAGTGTGCCCATCCCCCCAGGGATGATTTCTCGATTTCTGTCTCTCTGTCTCGTTCTGTCTTTCTGGTGAGCACACACACCCTATCGCAAAAACCTCTCAAAAAAAAAAAAAGTCATAGAACCTCACGTTTTATGATATAACAATATTGATCTTAAATTAAAAAACTAAAACCTTCCTTATGAGATGATAAAAAATGGCTTTTAACTCTCTTATTGCCTCTAGCAGGCCCAGTTATAATGATTATCTTTTTTTCATTTAAATTTACTTTTTTGCATTCATTCACTGTACATTATTACAACATACAAAATGAGATTTTCCATTCAGAATACACAGTATATTGGCTCAATCAAGTACATCAACATACATGTTATCATCAAGAAATAATTTTCCATTTCTTGTTTCCTGTATATTTTGCTTTTTTTCCATTCTTGATTCCCTCTTACCCTCTGCCATCTCCCACTTTCCTCCCACAATCTCTGGTTTCTATGGTTGCTTTCTATGCCTCCCCCCCCATTTTATTGATTCGCTAAAGATCTTAATTAATCTAAGTATTTTGAATAGCAAGCACAGCTGATACATATATATATCCATGAACACAAGTCTACGGTTCTGATTCTTAGGTACAGCACTACCCCTGACTGCTTGCACCTAGGTAGTCAACTTCTCAAAAACTTCTAAGGTGGCACTTACTGTTAGCGTTATCCCTGATCACTAACACCCTAAGTAATTCTTCTCCCGTCCTCTAAGCCCGGTCTGCCTCTACCAGGGATCCTAAGTACCCTATGCAGGAGTTTTATTGTTTTCTTTAAAAAATTAAAAAATACTTACCAACGCCTACTCACCTCCTAGTTGGAGCAACTCACGTTGGGCACCAATCTGCTAGGGTCCAGCCTTGGCAGGGGTGGGTTGACT